ACCACTACCCACCATTTGGTGTGATGGCAGGAACACAGATACTTGAGATAACAGTTCCTCTTTTGATGTTAAACATGTCCTGTGGAGGGGGGGCCTAAAAGTGGTGGGGGTCGAGGGGCACTAAAGGTGATTGTAAACACAGTGAGCAGAAAATACCTTCAACAGCATTCTACATTCTTTGTTTCTTTCAAATCCAACTAACAGAGAGGAATAACACCTTAACAATAGTTATCAATATTCAGATTTATTGGATGTAGTATTTTAAATCTTCTCTAAAGCGCTTCGTGACAGCTGCAGCGGTTGTGAATGCTCTATATAAATATAGCTGTCACCATTGTAGCTTCTATTTGATGTGCCTTATTATGCAGTGCACCCTATACATGAAAACTGTTTTAAAATAGGCCATTCCTTGAAGGTGCACCTTAGACTTCAAAGCGTCTTATAGTGCGGAAAATATGGTACTTACAAAGAGGAAATACACCACTTGATTAACATTGTGTCTTTAAATTAATTTATATACTACCCTGTCCATACAAATGCCCGTGCGCATGCATGCACCCACACAGTCTCTCATAAACACACATACGCACACACGCACACGCACACGCACACACACACACACACACACACACACACACATTAAATGAAATAAATCAGATGTTATTTGCAAAGTGTAAAAAAGAAAGTGAACGAGCCATTTTCTCTTCTGTTAATTCTAGGCAGGTCTATTGGCATCGGACATAGCCAGAAAAAATAACCACCGGCATGTCGTACTTCTGCTGGCCAAGGATCCTCAGGTTGGTATTTTCAACACCTATTCCTCAACTGCTGAATGAATGGTTTCAAAATGCAAAATGACAGAGTTGAACAGTCTGCTAGTTGAAATGTATTAGATGTTTACTAAGAAACGAATATTAAAAGGGGCTCCTTTAAATCGGCTTCTGCAGACAGCTTTTGACCTTAGCTAGCATTTGCATCTTTGGTCAGTTCTACTTGTCAGAAATGCAACATGTATTATTGCTTTTGTCCACTCTCTTAGATAATCCCTTGTTTTTGTTGAAGGTAAAATGCCTGAAATGTCATCTGCCTAAAATAGCCTACTTTTAAGCTGGGAAAAAAAACCCCTCTCTCCCTTCAATGTAACAAATGAGGGATTTACCACTCCGCAGTCAGTTAGAGCTTGCGATTGATCATTTGCTCGTGAAGAGTTTTGGCAACATTGACTCCTCGCTGAAATCATGGGTGGTGGATTCATGCACCAAGCTCGCAGCAGTGTCTCGAGTACGCGGACATATTTTATTTAAAACGAGACTGGTTGTATGGTCACTCACAAAATGTTCAAGTCTATCATCAAATATAACAAAAGCACAAGTGCGATGCATGCCCGTCTGAACAGTCATTCGTTAATGCCAGCGAACAAGCAGACATAATTCGTCACACCAGTCATCAGCAAATGTACCTCCTGTTTTCCTCTATCATTGAAAAGATAGTGTTGGGGCAAGAGCGGCCTCCTCTTACCCGCGTGTTCGTTGAGTTTCGGACGAGGAGAATGTTGGTAATCCAAATAAAGGCCATTTGGTGGGTAGTGGTGGATAAGAGGTCTTCCCAGGGGGGCTTAACATCGATCAGGACCGACCCAAGGTGCGGGGGGACAACAGAAGACACTTGGGGGGCCGTTAATCAACCAAGAAGTAAGAAGATAAACTTTAACACTACATACGTTGTTTAAAGTGTGCAAACAGATGTTCAGGAAAGAGACTGAGATCAATAGTACTCATAGTAAAGCGCAGTCCCTCAATAGTTGCAACACAGATACTTGAGATAACAGTTCCTCTTTTGATGTTGACATTTCCTCTGGAGGGGTCCTAAAAGTGGTGGGGGTGAGGGGTACCAAAGGTGATTGTAATCACAGTAAGTAGGAAATACCTTCAACAGCATTCTACATTGTTTCTTTCAAGTGTCTGAACCAACACAACTAATAGAGAGCAATGAACTCTTAAGAAGAGAGGAATGACACTTTCACAGTCCAACCTAACTAAGAAGAGAAGGAATGATACAGAAGAGAAGGAATGATACTTTAACAATTGAATCTAACTAAGAAGAGAGGAATGATACCGTACTTTAACAATCCCTCTCTAGATCACAATTAATATTGTGATCACAAAATAATCTACGATAAAAATCTAATCTAAGAAGAGAGGAATGATACCGTATTTTAACAATCCCTCTCTTGATCACAATTAATATTGTGATCACAAAATCATCTACGATAAGAATCTAATCTAAGAAGAGAGGAATGATACTGTATTTTAACAATAGACAATACGGAGTAGCAGTCAATCAATAACCCCTTTGATTGAGAAAATAAAAGATGGTTTATCTCAACTGTCAGCTTTCTCCCAGCAGACATGCTTGCAATTTTCTACCTGCTTCCACTGGCCCCATCCCCCCTCAATTCACTCATCCTATCACAAATCAGACACCTGTCGGGTCTCACAAACATTCAGATTTCATAAAAGTCTTGCAACAATCCTTCTCTTGTTTTTGTTTTTTTTTTTGTTACCGCAAAATATGATGACACACTGTGACTTGTAGTTGTGTTCTGTGAAATGATGTTTGAGTTTGACAAGTTCCAAGTGGCTGCGAGGCTATGAAAGTTACTGGATGTGATTGGACGAGCAAGTTTCTGAATGTAATTGGATGAATGAATGGAAGGGTTGGGCCTTGTGCAACTGAGGATGGCTAAGAAGAAGTCAGGGCTACATTCTGTCACTCACGCTGAAGCAGTGATGTGTTCCTCGAGCCGGTCCTTGGCCTCGAGGACCGGCTCCCGGCCCCCAG